GCCTCCCAAGTAGCTGGGACCACAGGAGTCCGCCACAACGTCCGGCTATTTTTTGGTTGCAGCCATCATTGTTGTTTGGCGGGTCCAGGCTGGGGATTCGAACCCGCCACATTAGGTGTACGTGGCTGGCGCCTTAGCCGGTTGAGCTATAGGCACCGAGCCACCAGTAGCTTCTATTTCAGGTAACTGATTAGGATTCTCTGTATTTGCCTATCTATACTTGGGGTTGGCTACTTTTCCTGTGATTTTAATTCTCTGATGGGTTTAAGAAACATCATTGTTTTTTAGTTTGTTCAGCTGTTCTTGTGAGGGCAGGTGCTTGGAAAATCTAGAGAAAATGGATAAATTCCTGGACACATATAACCTACAAAGACTGAACCATGAAAAAATAGAAAACCTCAAAAAACCAATACAAACTAATGAGATTAAAGTCATGATAAAAAGTCTCTGATCAGGGGTGGTGCCTGTGGCTCAGTGAATAGGGCACCGGCCCCACATACTGAGGGTGGTAGGTTAGAGCCCAGCCTCGGCCAAACTGCAACAAAAAAAAAGCCAGGCATTGTGCCGGGTGCCTATAGTCCCAGTTACTTGGGAGGCTGAGACAAGAGATTTGGAGTTGGAGGTTGCTGTGAGCTGTGACACCACAGCACTCTACCAACGGGGATAAAGTGAGTGAGACTCTATCTCCAAAAAAAAAAAAAAGTCTCTGATCAAAGAAAAGCCTAGGACCTGAGGGATTCACTGCTGAATGCTACCAAACATTTAAAGAAGAATACCAATCCTTTTCAAACTCTTCAAAAGAATTGAAGAAGACCAGATGCAGTGGTTCACACCTGTAATCCCAGCATTCTGGGAGGCCAAGGCAGGTAGATTGTTTGAGCTCAGGAGTTTGAGACCAGCCTAACCAAGAGCAAGACCCCGTCTCTACTAAAAATAGAAACAATAGCCCAGTGTTGTGGTGGGTGCCTTTAGCTACTTAAGAGGCTGAAACAAGAGGATCACTTGAGCCCAAGAGTTTGAGGTTGCCTCAAGCTATGACACCATAACACACACACCAAAAGAATTAAAGAGGGAATACTTCCAAATTCATTCTATGAGGCCAGAATTACCCACAAAAACAAAACAAATACACAACAAAAAAGAAAACTACAGGCCAATATCACTGATGAACATAAAGTTGCTTGACAAAATACTAGGAAAGCAAATTCAACAATACATTAAAAAGATCATTCACCAGGATCATGTAGAATTCATTTCGGGCATGCAAGGATGGCTCAGCATATGCAAATCAATAAACTTGATATATCTACATTAACAGAATCAAGACAAAACCTAAATGATTATTTAAATAGATGTCAAAAAGCATTTGATAAAAGTCAACACCCCTTTAAAGAAAAACCTACATCAAAATGAGTATAGAAGGAAAATATCTCAAAATAATAAAGGCCATATGTGACAAACGCACAGCTAACATTGAACCAAATGGAGCAAAGTTGAAGGCCTTTCCTCTAAAAACTGGAAAAAGACAAGGATGCCACTTTTGCTGTTATTATTCAACATATTACCAGAAGTCCTGGCCAGAGCAATCAGGCAGGAGAAAGAAATGAAGAGCATCCAAATTGGAAAGGAAGAAGTCAAATTAGGCTTCTTTGCAGATGACATGATCTTTTTTTTTTTTTTTTTTTTTTTTTTTTTTTGAGACAGAGCCTCAAGCTGTCCCCCTGGGTAGAGTGCCATGGCATTACAGCTCACAGCAACCTCCAACTCCTGGGCTCAAGCGAGTCTCCTGCCTCCGCCTCCCAAGTAGCTGGGACCACAGGCGCCCGCCACAACGCCTGGCTATTTTTTGGTTGCAGCCGTCATTGTTGTTTGGCGGGTCCGGGCTGGGGATTCGAACCCGCCACCTTAGGTGTACGTGGCTGGCGCCTTAGCCGGTTGAGCTATAGGCGCCGAGCCAGATGACATGATCTTATGCCTAGAAAAAACTAAAGACTCCATCAAAAATCTGTTAGTACTGATAAACAAATTCAGTATAGATAGATGCAGGATATAAAATCTACACACAAGAATCAGCAGTATTTACATATCCTGATAACAAATAATCTGAAAAAGAAATAAAGAAAGCAATCACATTTATAATAGCTATAAAAAATGTAAAATACCTAGGAATTAATGTTGGCAGATAAGTAAAAGATCCATACTAGGAAAACTATAAAACTCACTGAAAGTAATAGGGCACCAACAAATGGAGATACTCAATGCTTATGCAATAGAAGAATTAATATTGTTAAAATGACAAAACAATTTACACATTCAATGAAATTCCCATCAAAATACCAATGACTTTCTTCACAGAAACAGAAAAATAATGCTAAAATATGTATGAAACTGTGAAAGACCCAAAACCCCAAAGTAATCCTGAGCAAAAAGAACAAAGCTGGAGGTATAATGCTACATGACTTTAGAATTTACTATAAAGCTATAGTAATCAAAACAGCATGGTACTGGCATAAAAACAGATACATAGATCAATAGAATGTCATAGAGAACCTAAATACGGTTCCATGCATTTTCAACCAACAAAGACATCAAGGACACATAAAGGAGAAAGGACATCTTTTTAGTAAATAAAAAGTACTGGGCAAACTGGATAACTGCAGGAGGTACCAAAAAATGTATACATATTTTAAGAAAGGAAAAACAGTTTTAAAATTATAATACTCAGTATATACTAGAAACAAAAGATGAATACAAATCATGTTTGAGCACCTCTTACATTGCATAACTCCAATGTGACTTCAGTATTACAATCTTAAAAATAGTTTTTTCCTTTCTTTTTTTTTTTTTTTTTAAGACGGAGCCTCAAGCTGTCCCCCTGGGTAGAGTGCTGTGGCATCACAGCTCACAGCAACCTCCAACTCCTGAGCTCAAGGGAGTCTCCTACCTCTGCCTCCCAAGTAGCTGGGACCACAGGTGCCCACCACAATGCCTGGCTATTTTTTGGTTGCAGCCATCATTGTTGTTTTGGTGGGCCCGGGCTGGATTCGAACCTGCCACCTTAGGTGTATGTGGCTAGTGCCTTAGCCACTTGAGCCACAGGCGACGAGCCAGTTTTTTCCTTTCTTAAAATGTGTATACATTTTTTGGTACCACCTGTATGTGCAAAAGAAGGAAACTAGGCCATTATCTCTTACCATACGCAAAAATCAATTCAAAATGGATTAAAGATTTGACTCTAAGACTTGAAACTATGAAACTTCTAGAAAAAAAAAACTGAGGAAACACTCTAGGATATTGGTCTAGGCAAAGATTTTTTTATATTAAGACCTCAAAAGCACAGGCAATTAAAACAAAAATAGGCAACTGGGATTATATCAAGCTGCACAGCTAAAGAAACAATTAATAAAGTGAAGAGACAACCCATAGGAGGACATATTTGCAAACTATCCATCTGACAAAGGATTAATGACCAGAATATATGTACAGATAAGGAGCTCAAACAGCTCATTAGCAAAAAACCAAGTAATTTAATTAAAATGGGCAAAAGCTCTGAATAAACATTTCTCAAAAGAAGACACACAAATGACCAGCATATATATGAAAAAATGCTCAATGTCACTAGCATCAGAGAAATGCAAATCAAAATCACACTGCAGTATCATCTTACTCTGGCTAAAATGGCTTATAGCATAAAGGCAAGTAATAACATGTGCTAGCAAGGATGTATAGAAAGAGGAACCCTCCTATATCTCCTACACTGTTGGTGGGCATATAAATTATTATTATTAACTTTTTTTTTTTGAAGACAAGTTCTCACTCTGTCACCTAGGCTGGAGTACAGTGGCATGATCATAGCCCACTGCAGCCTCAAACTCCTGGGCTCAAGTAATCAATCCTGCTGCCTTGGCCTCCCAAGTAGCTAGGTCTATGGCATTCACCACCACGTCTGGCTAATGTTTTTTTTTTTTTTTTTTTTTTTTGTAGAAATGGGTTTTGATATTCTGCTCAGGCTGGTTTCAAACTCTTGGCTTCAAGCAATCTTCCTGATGGACTGCTTGGCCAGTTCAGAGCCCTGACCCCAGAGCTCCTAGCAACACACAGAAGACTAAATTGCCCCAGTATTTACCACCAGGACAGAAAGTGGGGTCGGGTTGAGAGGCCAGGGTAGAACCCGGGGTAACATTGGGCCCTTCAGCTGTTACAGAGAAGAAAATAATGGAACCGACTCTGGTCTTTCATTTCCTATTTATGAGTGAAGGAATGGACTGCTTTGTGTAACTGGCCATTGTGGGTTTCCTCTACTGTTTGGGGCTGTTCTCCTCAGAAGACATTTCTTTTTATAGGATTTGGGCTGTGTGCTTTGAGAGTGGTGACTCACATATACTTCATTTCTTGAAAGAGAGGTGCTCTCCACACCTACTCCACTTATGCAAATTAACTTCCTCCTCCATTCAAAAAAGGAATAGACAGCCAAGGATTAGTGGAAGCAGAAGAAAATCCAAAAAGTGAAGGGAAAGAACTCTAAACCTAGATCTAAAAACACAGAAATTAGTTTCCTTGGGGAAATTTGAGAGGCTATTGCACCCATAAGACAATAAAAGATAACTATTAAAAAAAAAAAAAGAACAACTCAGGTGCTGCCTGTGGCTCAAAGGAGTAGGGCATCAGCCCCATATACTGGAGGTGGCGGGTTCAAACCCTGCCCTAGCCAAAAAAAAAACTTGAATAAAAACATGATTGCCAAAAGAAATTAGTGAGCTGGACAATCAGGGCATCTTTCTTGAATGAGAAGCAAAAACATTGTGAAATGGGAAAACATGAGAAAACCATTTACGTTCACACAGCATCTATCTGGTAGGTCTGCGGTAGACTGTGTTAGCTATTGTTATCATTACCCAGCGACCTTTCTCATGGCTTCCTCTGGAGACAGATATTCCCCTGGTGCCCCCACAGGGGAAGGGGTGGGAATGTGACTAAAGAAGCCCAGTAGGGGCCTCTCTCTGAAAGAGCAGGATTCACTTTCCCCTAAGGTTGTTAAGCTGGGAGTGTGTGAGCTTGGAGCTCTGAGTGGCCCTTTTCCAAGGCAGAGTAGCTGAGAGCCCTTGCCAATAGGGGAGAGAAAGGCCAAGAGAAAGAGAAACAAGAGTGGAGGGCTGGGGCTGGAACGGAGGTGGGGAAGCCATAAGGAGGGTGCAGAATGAGTGAACACAGAAGGCCAACGAAAAGGTTTGAGGCCTTGGATTCAGCAAGGCAGGAATACCCAGTCACATGAGCTAATGTGTTCTATTTTTTGGCCTAAATTGGTTATGTCTGTGTCACCTGCAACTGTAAACATTCTGATTCATGCAAGGCCCTTTCAGAAGAAAGAACAGAGACAGGAAGGGAAAGGAAATAAGCAAAGACTTAATAGAAGGGATCTTCCCTGAGCTGAAGGCAGACTTAGTCTTCCTATTTAAGGCCAAAGTGCCCTGCAGGACAAGTGAGAAGCCTCACACCTACACCCGTACACTCAAACTTTTTTTTTTTGCAATTTTTTTTCTAAAAATAGAAAAGTACTTAAGTATTTATGCTTAAGCGAGCATAAGATGGTCAAGTTTAAAAAGTCAAGTGATGTTTGTCATTGTGATACTGTGTTGGAGGATGATTCAAGAGTATCCATAAAGATTTGACCTATGAATTTAAATGTTCATAATGAAATGCAAAACACATGAAAAAATGAGCATAAAACACATACATAGCTTAAATATATATACAGCGAAAAGAATAATAAAAAGAACACCTATGCACCACCCCCACCCAGCTTCAGAAACTAAATATTATAGTACCATCAGCCAGCTTAACAGAATATTTTGCTTCAAGATAATTTGGAAAGGGGTGGGGGATATGGATGAAACAATATTTGCAATGCATTGATGATTATTAAAGGTAAATGATGAGTACTTGGGGTTTATTATAATATTCTATTTTTATATATGTGAAATATTTTCCACTAGAAACAAAAATAGAGAGATGGAGAGAGAGGCAAGAGTGAAAAAAGGGGGAAGGAAGAAGAAAGAAAAGGAATATTATGAACACTTATGAATACCTTTGAAACCTCTAATGTGTTACTCCCAGGGCACTGTGGTCTTTGCTTATTTAAATATGCCCCAATTTTTTTGTGTCCATTCTCCTTTTGATAAACATTGACCAGTCTGGCTCCGAGCATTTCTACATAAGCATGACTCTCCCACTGCACATGTGTTAGAATTTTTCTGGGAGTTTATTTAGAAGGGCAAATACTAGGTAAACTAAAGTATTTTCTAAAGTGGCTGTACTAATTTACCTTCCTTTAGTAAAGGAAGTATACATATTCTATAAAGATATACTTCATAACATTATCAGTCAATTATTTCTATAATTTTCAAATTTTATAGAATAAACATATATCAATGGTTTTAAATCTAGAAGTATCCTTAGATAAATAGATGACTACATATGACATAAATAAATGTAGCATATGCATTTTATGTAGACTATGCATAAAGTCTGCTGCAATGGCTCTTCCCAGTCCCTTTACCTCCAGGTCCCGTTTTCCACCTGCAGCTCCAGAACGGTCTGCAGGCGCTGGCAGTGCAAGGCCTCCAGGGTGATGTCCACGCTGCACTCCCCCAGAGGGTGAAGCTGGCCACTGGAAGGCTCAATATTGAAGGGAGACACCTGATCCAGATGCCAATCCAGAAAAATGAGGAAAGTGAGGATACTTAGCATTATAGAACAATTAAGGGTTTGCCATGCCCAGCCAGTGTCACCCCAAACTGTCCTCAGTTCTCACTGAGTCATCTAGAAGGAGGCAAGCAGGCGGGGGGACCACAGCTGCATGAGTCTCAGGGTTAGGAGGACAAAAACTGAAATCTGAATATACAAGCTAGAGGTCCCCAGGCCCTGGTCCAGATCTGAGAGAAGGTGCCCCAAGGGGAGTAGGGGAGAGCCGGGGAGCAGGAGGGGATCCCGGGAGCCACGCTGGTGAGAAGGGCAGAGGCCCTCTGAGCAGGCATGAGTCAGGACCCTAACAGGTTCAAGTGAGGAAGCCCACGTCATCATCCTGGAGAAGGGAGAAGCTACCTGTAGCTACAGGTAGCTACAGATTTTTCCTTTACAACTATGTCCTTCTCCTCACGCACCCCCGCCCTCCCCCCCCCCGCCCGCTTGGCCTCATTCATTCCAGGTCCACCCTCTCCCTACACTAGCACACAGGTAGAGGGGAAGGGAAAAAACTTGTAAAGAAAAGTGTCCACATGGGGGTGTGTGTGATCTACCTTGACTGAGAGAAGGGGCATGCTGGCTAGTAGGAGTATGACTGGACATTGAAAGGTCACACCAAGGGGGACGGTATCACTCTCTTTGGCCTCTCTGTTCTATGCAACCAAGACTATGAGTGCAGGGCTGTGGCTGCCTAGAGACAGGCAGCTGGGTCTGGCCTGCCCTCTCCCACCCCAGTCCACTCAGGCCCTAGGCACAGTTTGGCAGGGTAGACTGACCTTTACTGGAGGCTGCTCAGACCTCACACTCATAGAAAAAGAGGGCTCCATGCACTCTGGCCTGGCTCACTAGAGCTCAGGCATTGGAGTTTGGGGCCTAGGCTCTGGTGATAAGGAAAAAGCCACTGGCTTGATTTTGTGTATTTGATATTGCTTCCTTGGAGCCCTGGAAATCTGGGGGATGGCTGTAGTCTGGGGCTGGGTTTCAGTAGCTCTGAGTTCCCTACCCCAAAAGCATCTAACCAACTCCAAATCCCAACATTATTTTTGAGAGCTCAAAAGAACAGAGTGCAGAGAACTGTAGAAAAAGGATTTCCACCTGTCTTGTCTATGATATAAACCTTAAAAATACTATGAAATTGACAATTATTTCAACTGTAAAATATAGTTATACTTAGCAGTGGGAGAATAACACAGACTTTGAACTAGAAATGGGATATGATTCCACTACCCATCAGCTGTTTAGCCCTGGGGAAGCCCTGTGCCTTCTTGTCTCTCCTCCATCAAAGGAAGAGTTGGCTGAGGTCGCTATGCTTCCAGCTGTACTCTGGAAAATCCCAGGAATTCCTTGGAAGTGCCTTGGGATTCTGAGGACTAGGTTGTGGGGAGAGGCAGGATGGAGCAGGTGTGTCTAACAAGGGGCTCTCTGGGTGGGCAGAACAGTCACACTTAATTCTATATATTGGGCTTCTAGATAAGGTTTCATTTGGAGAAAGGGTTCCTGCCTAAACACAATGTAGACACCAAAGATACTGATGCCACCCTGCTGCCAGCCCCAGCCCTGGCCTTCTGTTGCTCTAGGATCCATGCTAGAAAATCAATGAGCCCTGGGAGGGAGGCACTAACTCTAAGCCTGTGTAACAGATACTTGGCAATGGCATTGGTGATTCAATATAAATTGTCATAACTTCTAAGTTTTGGAGTACCTAGTTAGAGAAGTGAAGCTGTTGGGTAAAGGGGCAAGAGCTCTCTAAAGTGGAAAGAAAACCCTGGAGAAAAGGACTTTACACTGGCAAATAAGGTATTTGTGTGGCTTGGACTGTCTTTTGTTGGCTTCTAAATGTAGAAGGAAAAGGGTGTGATGTTCTGACTGGGAGGGCAAGTGGGTAGGCAGAATGGGGACGTAGGTAGAGGGAGGGTGGTGTCAAGCAGGAAGAGGGAGGGTGCTGTCACCAGACACAGCCAGGGTCCCACATGTGCAAACAACTAGGGAGCCACAGCTATCAGGAGTGAAGAGGCATGACAATACAACTCAGGGTTTGCAGTTCGGGAGTAACTGATACTCTGTCTTCCTCCAGATTGCACATTGTGTTTACACATGATGACACAAAATTTAAATATGATGATTATAACAGCCACTTTCCCCCCTATTTTATAATAAAAAGAAAAGTGCTGGTTATATGCAAATAAATCTTGAATTTCCTTTTTAGAGCCTCTGGATTTGGGCCACAAGCCCATGCCTAGGTGCTCCTGGTGGCAAGTACTCAAACTACAGACACAATCCCCAGGAAGATGAGAACCTTCCTGAACCCTGGGCAGAGGAGGGAACGTGGCCCTTAGCACCAATAGCCTTGGAGGCTTCCTGCCCAACACAGCTGCTTTGGGCAGGAAACACCCCTATTTCCGAATCCAATATACAGAGGAACAGGAGATGCTGGTGGGGGGTTAAATTCAGCTATAGAGAGGAGCTGCCTCCATGACCAGGACAACAGGAGGCACTGCCAGGCAGGCCTTTCTTTCCTAGCCTCAAAGATCTGATCTGAATGTACCAGCACAAGCTGCCCTGTTCAAACCTGACACAATGAGTTCATAGGGGAAGAGGGCACAGGAGCCAACAGTATCTGACTTACATCTTCGGTCCTTTCTTTGAGGCAGACAGGGCTTTCCTTCATGTGCCACCTGGCTGGGAGCTGGCTGATGTTCTGGATCTCAATGGAGTTTGTGACTTTCTGCCCCAGGCGGAGGAGACCAAACTGAAGGGCTGAGACGTTGATGAACAGAGCAGGTCCCTGGGACACCCAGAGGGGTTTGTTGTTAGGCCACTTGAGGACAGGCTCTGGTCCTAGCCCTGCCACCTTTCTGGGCCCACCCAGCTCCCAGCCTCCATGTGCAGCACCTTAAAGGCTGCCTCAATGTGCAATACCACTGGCGAGGGCGAGTCTTTGATTTCACACAGCAGGTCCTGGCTTGTTGGGCCAGGGACACCCCCAGTAAAGTTCAACTCAAACTCCCTGACTTCATTGGGCTCTAGGAGAGATGAAGAAAGTGAGAGGTAGAGAAAAGAAGGGGGCAGTTTCCTTCCATGATTGGGTCCGGATGGCAAGTCTTCACTGATTTCTCATCTGCCACATGTCCCAGGCCTTGGCTAGAGAAGATCATAGGACACCAACAGCTCTACATGACTCCTCCCTAGCCAGCCCTGGGCAGGTCTCAACCCTTCCTGCAGTCCCCAAAGTACCTATGACCCCTGTGCAGGGTTCCACTTCAATGATGTGGCAGTCACTGATCTTCCCCCACATGTATCTGATGGCTGACTTGCTGTTGTTCCACATCTGAAAGACATACCATAATTGGCAGGCCCAGCTACTGCCCTTTTTATGCCAGTTCTATACCTGGTGAAGGACTAAAGGATTGTGGACTCATGCAGGGTCTACCTGGCACTTTCTTGGCTAATTCTTGTCTATCAGAAGCCATGAACTTCCCACCCCCCTCAGCACCTTCATTCCACACTGTAGCACATAGTGCCAAAAATGATGATGGTTTCCATAGCTCTAACTTTCAGAGAATCCTGGGAGGCTGATAAAATAAGACAGACATGCCTGGCCCAGGCATCTATGCAAGACAAATTTTGTTCAGGGGCCCTGAGAACAGCCTTGGCCTCCATGCAGTGGCCAATACCATGTACGTCTCCAGCTACAGCCTCCCTGTGTGCCCACCCACGCCCAGCACTGCCTCAGCCAGCCCAGGCAAGGGAGAGACAATGACCTACCTTAAAATTTTTCTTCACATTTATGCCAATGTAGTTCTCCCCTGGGATAATGAGGGCATATGGTTCTAAGAGAACCTGGAAAGGCTCTACTGAGCCTTTCACTTCAATTTCCAGGACAATCACATCATCCATAGGGTATGTAGTGTCCATCAGGTTCTCCACTTCTGAACTGAACACAAACCCAGCATGAGCTAGGAGCCGACATGCCTAAGAGCACCTCCCTGCAAGTCCCTGCTTCTGTCCTACATCTTTAGTCTCATCAAACGAAAACACTATTCAACTCGCAGCTCCCAAAATCCTAAATTCTGAGGTATCAGTCAATGACCTGAAAGATGATGAAGGCCTATGGCTATTGCAGCAGTATAGCCAGAAGGCCTGGAACATAAGCATTGCCCCACTGTCTCGAGGGACCACACTGTGCTCCAGCCTGGGCTTTCTATACCAGGCTGACTGAAGACCTACCCTGACAGTTTACACTGGAGTAAATCCTTCCCTCAGCAGTTGCCTCCATCCAGGGCCACCAGTTGGCTCCCTACAGGTAGCAATGTGCTGGGGCACAGCTCCAAGGTTCTTGGGGTGGCCTGGTAGTGAGTTAGTGAGCTCAGCATGCTGAACCATGTGTGCTGAACCAGACCTAGGTTGCCAGGGCAAGGCAAAAACACTCCCACTCCCCAAGGCCTGCCGGAGTCAGGTCACCCATTCATCCTTGCCTCATACCTCCCTCAGAATTCCCAAGGGGAAGAAGGCCCAGCTGCCCACCCCTTAGCCAGTCCCTGCTCACCTTACAAGTTCTGGGACTTTTTCTAGTACCATCTGAAGTACACTGTGAAAGTCTCTCAGCTGCAAGACAAATACAGTGCCCTGAAAACACAACTGCATTCAAGCAGTTTTTTCCCTCTCAAGCTAGCCACCAGAAAGTTCTTCTGAACAACCTGGGCTGTTTCCTTGCTATGTCTTTCCCATCCTAGGGAAACTGGGGTCACTGCCAATACATGAGCCAAGACTCAGGGGCCTGTAACAGCCAGCCCTGGGGTGCTGGAAGGAAAGGCCTCTTGATGCTAAATTACCCTTTGGTGGTACGCTCAGTATATCGGAAGGACCACATGGTCCCCAGACTATGAGGGGGTTGGATGGTGGCTCCTGAGGCAGACCTGCTGCTCATCCTAGTCCCAAACCTGCTAAAAGGGGCCCCAGGGATCCTCATCATGCCAGTTTGAATTCCCCTCTCACCTGCCCATGACACACATGGCTTCCTTCTACACTGGGGCTGTCACTGGGCTAACCCAGCCCTCAAGACCTTTCATGTCACTCTCTACGGGCTGTTGTAGGATAGGCGGCATGGTAACATTCTTTGACATAGAAATGTGGAAGACACCCAGGGTGTCTGTGGAAACAAGCCCAGGGTCTACCTTCAGATGGGCTGTGTCTGAGGTCAGGACCAGGTTTAACAAGCTGCTTCATCCTACACATGAGGCATGTATTCCAGCCACACTCTCAGCTAAGTGCCAGCCTCGGCAGGACAAGAGGGTGCCTCGGCAGGCTCAGCTGTGACATCAGTGTCATTAAAGAGCACAGATTGAGGGCCAAAATATCATGACCTAATCTTGTGTGGCTACTGAGGTAACACCATCTTAACCTCATAAGGAGAAAAGCTCAGGATGAATTCATGGTCTGCATGGGATCTGAGCACGCCCTTTTCAGGAATGATGGAGAAGGCAGTCTCTTTGTCTGGGTAGTACTTGATGCTGTCCATGCTGTAGGTTTCTCCAGGCATTAGGGGCTGCAAGTTGGGCTTCATGATCTGCCAGTGGAAGGCCAGCTCCACATGCCTATGGGGGCAACACTGACCATGAGTGGTGGATTCAAGGCCATGTCCCAGTCCTGCCAAGACCAGGTTCCTCCCACCCAATGCCTGGCCTTCCCTGTTCCAAGAGAGAGCAGGAAAAGATCTAGGAGAAAGTGACCAGGTCAGCCTTCAAGCCCTCCCAATGGAGGAGCCTGGAGTAGCTGGGTAAAGAGCAGCAGTTATCAGGGTATCCAAGAAGGATACGTAAGGGGGTCCCTCTCCTCCCACCTATGGCAGCTGGAGGTCAGAGTGACTCAGGAAGTCACACTCCAACCATTACACTGGATGGGTCAAGGCAACCTCTAGACATCAGGAAGATCTTCTGCAGTGTCTCCTACCACTCAAGAGTTCCCAAGGTTTGTCACATCAGCCCCACCCCTGTCCTCTGCCTCCCAGGACACCTGTGTCCGGAAAGATAATGTACCCACTGGCTGCCAACAGGAACAGTGACAAATCTATAGCAGTAGGATGGGCAGGACTCCAGATGTGCTGCTGATGGGCAGCTGTCACAGGGGAGGGATGGAAGACCAATCCTATTGCCAGGCTGGTAACAGAATCCTGGGTAATGCCTGTAGCTCCTAGGGAAACCTTGGCTGGAGGCTCTCTGAGGTCTGTCCTGGTATAACAAGGGTACTCAGAGATGGGTCAGGAAATAAATGGCAGTGAGAACTGAACCCACAGACCATAGTCTGTGTGACCCTGGCTTCTCTTGCATGTGAGAGCATGACCTCTTTGGAAAACTGTCCTAGCTAGGGGTGGTCCAGCATGATTAAGAGCAGCACTGTCTAATGTAACTTCCTGCAAGGATGGACATCTTATGTCCTTGCACTCTCCAATTAGATAGCCACTAGCTAGCTACATGGGGCTATTGAGTACTTAAAATGTGGCTAGTGTCACTGAGGAAGTAGATGCCTAATTTTAATTAATTTAAATTTAAATAGCCACACGTGGCTAGTGGCTACCATCAGGGATTGTATAAATCTGGATCCTTCCATCCAATCTGAAGATCCATTCTGTGCCCAAAAAGCCCCTCTCCCCTGGCTCTCAGAAGGAACTTCTTGCCTCACTGGGAACTCAGGGTCAGGTGAGGAAAGAGAAGGGCTGTGTGTTGGGGGCACAGATGGGGCAACTTACGTAGCATTTCTAATAATCAGCTGTTTCTTAGCTGTGGACAGAAGGTTTTCAGGCTCGAATCGTATGAAGTGCTGGGCTGTTAAGTCTGTGAGCTCTCCAGGTTCTGGTTGACTTTTTTCACCAGAAATATAGATCAGGTCCAGAGCAACCAACTGCCCGGTTCCTGACAAAGCAGGGTAGTAAAGTTATTGAGGTGTTACAAGGGCTGAAATCATGACTTTGTGGCCAAGGCTGCCATAGGACCCATGCCACCAGCCACACACAACTGGCCTTGGCCATGATTCCTGGTGTGCACACGAGGGGAAAGGGGACCATCAGCACAGATTCATGTCCTCACCTCTTTACAGACCAAAAGAAAGTGATTTTGATGACCTAGCACATAGCAGGCACTTAGTTCCTGCCAAGTGAAATTGGATAGACAGGTAGATGGGTACAAGGAAGGAAGGAAGGAACAAGGGCCTCTTGAGGCATCTTGAGGTGATTCAGCAGGGTGTCCCCAAACAATAAAAGATTTCACCCTTTGTCCCTCACTAGTAAGCTCTTTGGATTCTCCTAGAAGCCACACTGGCTTGGGACTCTAAGGTAAGACCAGAGTGAAGGGCCCAACACTAGAAACAGGTTCCTGGAGGCTGTAGCCCTAGGGCAGTTACTCCAGCCTTGACCCTGCCCGGGAGCACACACAAGCCCACCTACAATCACCAGCTCCTTTGTCTGGCAGTTGTCACACACGATGATGAAGGTCTGCTCTGCCTTTCCTAGGTTCTTTGGGAGGAATAAGACCTGGAGAGAGAAGGGTTGTTCTGTTACCTCCCATTAAAGAAACTTCCAACCCCACTTCCCACCCTCCTCTTCTCAGACACAAATTCCTCCCTTGGTGCTCTGCTTTTTTCCCTCTCCCTGCCACCTCCCACTTTACACCTAAGGGTGAGGGTTTCAGCTTTAGCTTCATGCCAGAATGATGCAGGGAAGATGCTGAAAAGATACGAAGGGAAAGTTCACAGTGACCAAAATACAAATGGCACTTTAACAAATGGAACATGTACCCTCATAATTTAAACAATGTAAATTAAAACTATCCAGAAGACCAGATTTTCACTCATTATACAGGCCAAGAGCAGAAAGTTAGCTGTCACAGATACAATAATTTTTTCCCCAAGCTGTACTCATCCCTAACCCCTGATAACCACCATTCTACGCTCTTGCTTCTATGAATTCACCTTTTTTAGATTCCACATATAAGTGAGATCATGCAGTGCCTGGCTTATTTCACTTAATGTAATGTCCTCCAGGTTGATCCATCTTGTTGCAAATGACAGTACATCCTTCCTTTGTAAGGCCAACTAGTATTCCATTGTGTGCATACATCACATTTTCTTTATCCATTCATTTGTCAATAGACACTTAAGTTGATTCCTTATCTTGTCTATGTGAATAATGCTGCAACAAACACTGGAGTGCAGATATCTTTTCAACATACTAATTTAATTTCCTCTGGATATATACCCGGTATTGGGTTTGCTGGATATGGTAATTCTATTTTTAATTTCTTGAGGAACTTCCATGCTGTTTTAGTAATGGCTGTACAAATTTGCATTCCCACCGACATACACAATGGTTCCCTTTTCTCTACATCTTTGCTAACACTCATTTTTCTTCTATTTGATAATAGCCATTCTAATAGGTAAGATTTCTTTTTTTTTTTTTTTTTTAGACAGAGCCTCAAGCTGTCCCCCTGGGTAGAGTGCCGTGGCATTACAGCTCACAGCAACCTCCAACTCCTGG